TTGTCCCACCAGCTGACTTGAAGCTCCGACCTGCTGCACAGTGATTAGTAGTACTGCTTTCCGCTATGTCGTACCTGCCGACAAATCACACGTGTTCGAAAGAATGCCGCGGACTGCTTCCAAAAAACGATATACTTTTTAAACCTGGCTTTTTCCAAAGAAGTTATGTCTTACCCTACTTGTTTCGCCATGTATCTTTTGTTTGTAAGCCAAAATTTCCGGCTTATTATTGCTGTTTAGCACTGTTCTCTTTTGCTTGCTTGCTTTCAGAATTTGGGCAAATTTTGCAATCGTGCAGCCAAACTTAAGCCCCTCTAGCTGTGTTTCTCATTGTCCAACTCAATCTCTGAGCAACTTTTGTCGTCCATTGACAGGAAAAAAGTGACCGTGGCTATTTATTTAACGCGTCTTTTGCAAATCGCTTATTGCTGAAATTTGTGCATACAGGGTAACAGTAAGTGATGCAACTGTTAATTTAAAATCACTCTGAATCAGCTAGCAAGTGACAGGATGTGCTTGCTACACATTCATAACAATTTCAGTTTCTTTAAGCTAAAAGAAGGCATGCGCATTCGAAGAAAATAAGTGAAAATGTAATGTCCGGTAAAAATCGCTGCAGCACTCTGTGGCTGCTTGACATGGTGTAAAATTATGACGCCAAATCCTTTAAGTTACTCCTTTTAGGAAGTAAGATGGCATGAAGAACGTTTCTGGACTCGAATATGGGCGAGAACGATGCTTGCAAATTTTGATTGCCTTAAGTTGCATCATTGCAAAAAACAGACCCCAATACATGCCTATATTATTTTACTGGTTAGAAGAATCGCTTGAATATTTCAGTTTCGGGAGTGCTTTTGACAATTTTTATAAAATATTACACTCTAAAATGCCGTTTCGCTAACAATTAAATCAGCAGGGCACGCAAAAAAGCAGGTGCCGTGGTGTTGTTTTATGGAAAACCGCTACAAATACGCTGCTCTTAATGCGCAGGTAAGCATACAAATCGCCTATACTGCGCTGCGATAACGTTCCGATTAGACTACTTGTTTGCCCGGCTTGGTTTCAAATTCATAACACGAACTCAAATTTCGAACAAAGCTCAAAGGTTAGGTTACGATAGAATTTAAACAGCTTATTTCAGGCAAATGCTGCTCAGTTCGCTCAAACCCACGCCGACAACAAAGGGCAGATTGAAGTTTGAAAAACTTCATACGCTGTACATTACACGAGAAATTTAGTAAACAGGAGGATTTCATTAATTTCGTCCCTGATCCATTGAATTATGAAGATGAAGACAAAAATTAGAGGACAAGGAAATCTAAAAATTTGTTGTATTCTAGTTTTGTAGGCTTCGTCTTTTTCGGCGACTGCATTTCAGTTCATTCAGCTTTTCCAAACATGTGCGATTTCTACACTAATCAATTCAAATACGTACACATACGAATACATGCATGAGCAACAATGCACTGAAAAACTCCCAAGCGTTAGCAAAACGTATTACAATTAAAAAGCGTTAAAAAATTTTTACTGGTACTCGAATGTTTGCAATATAAAGAATGGATAAATTCTTAAAATCAAAGATTTTAAATACTCAGGTTTTGGGGCGCCACAAAGAGTTGTCTCTCCTCCTCAAATTTGAAACAAACTAGCAGAAGCAATAGGCGGGCAAACTCACGTAGTCCTTGTGTCTAGGTCCCGTAGTACTTTCTGCACTTTTTGCCAAACTTGAAAAGCAAAGTTAGGTTCTTTTAAGTGCTGTCTTTGCTATCAGGCTGATCAGATAGTCACCGCACAACTGTTGTTCCTTTTGAGCAATAACCTGTGAAATTTGGCAATGGAAGAAAACTTTCTTCAGACTATCTACTACTATTGATTGAGAGGGATGGTATACGAGAAAATACGGTAAATGAGTTTTAAAATTATTAGCGTAAGGGGTTCCAATAAGCACGGGGCAAAATATCTCAAACAGCATAAAATGAACTGTGATACTTCAAAGAATACTGATTTTTTCAGTCGTTTTTCTAAGCGATTTACATTCCTTGTATTGTGAATAAATTTTGTTATTCATGTGTTAATTGACTATGTAAAAAAAGCGCTCCTAATACTGCTCTAAAAAAAGTAACAAAAGAGTCTCTTTGCCGGAAAATTTCAGGACACTGACGATAATCCCAAAAGCTAGGCGAGCTTCATAATGTAACCAAATATGGTTTTGGGAATGAATAAATTTGTCCTTTTAAATGAGCTACTTAACATGTCAGTCATGTACACACAATACTAATTGAATATGTAATTGCGCTTTGCTACGGCTGACCAATTACCACAAAATCCAGCAAACCATTGATTAATTTACCTTTCAACATCTCTTATCCCCGCTTAACCGCCACACCTCCTCCCGAGTAAAAAAGCATTGATTAGCCAATCCGGAAAAAAATTCACAACCATTTTTATCCATTTTTATAGCGTCATTTTTCACTGAAAAGCTCTTGTGCCATTTTTCCGAGCAATGATATTGCCCAAAATTCCGCTTGATTTTGTAGCTAACAGCACCTAACTGGATGAATTACAAGACACACGGAGAGCCAAAAGAGCCTGAGTGGAAAGAAAAATGGAAAAGTTCACCAGCTATCAGAAATACCTTTATTGAAATATGGTCTTGAATTTTTCACTTGCACAACTAACATAGCCGATAAAGAACAAGCAGGCCGAATAATTATTTTATCGGATTCACAAATTTGCAATCACTTGATCTCCCCCAAAATAGGGGCTTACAGAACTAGCCTGGGAAACGAAAATAGACTGCTTGTACGATATAGCAGTACTGCTCATTTTCAAAGCTTTCGAACAATTTTACGTCGCGGCGTGCGCTCCTGGAAAAAAAAGGGTCAGATCAGACGGAGGAATTGTTTTTTTTTTTTTTTTTTTT